TTTGAGGACGAAGCTGACCGGATGTACGGAGCATCTGATCCTCAACATAGTCGACCAAAAATGGACGACTGTGTTGGCACTAAAGATCACTATGGATGAACTCTTGGGGTACCCCGAGCACGGTCTCACTCCGACACAGACCTTGAACAACATTGCCCGAGCACTCCCCGAACCTCACCAGTCCTTGCTGTATGTCCAAACCAAGGAAGAGGGAGTGACATATGAAAAGTTCAGCAAGACGGTTGAACACCACGCCGGCTTCCTCCAAGAGGCAAACTATTGCCACTATTGGAAAGACCTACAGAGAGGAGGTCGATGGAAGAACAAAAATATATTTGTTAGCATAGAGGGAAAGGATGGAGGTCGACAAAGAGGAAGAGGAGAAAGAGGATGTGGCAACCAAGGGAGTAGTAGCGAAGGTAGCAAACGCACGGAAGATAGGAGTAATGGTTCCCCTCAAGGTGGACGCAGATCCTCCTCCATAGGTGGAAGAGGTAGAGGGCCCAGACCATGGCCCGAAGACCACCACACTACAGCCTTTAGAACTCGCTACGGCCGCTAACAGTTTGTGGTCATGCTATTTGGTCTGACCAATGCTTTCGCTACGTCCCTAAAGATGCATGAACAATCTCTTTCGTGAATGGCTAGACAAATTTGACGTCCTTCATTTATACGGGGCATATTCAGTAAGAGACTGTAAAGGAGCACCAGCAGCATCTGTATTTGATCTTCAAGAAGCTGCGAACTGCAAAGTTCAATCTGAACCTAGGCTACCCGCCGGGCCGTCCGGATGACCCCATTTTCCCGGGCGGGCCGGGCGTGCAAGGACCAGGAAAGGTCCCAGCCAAAAAAAAAAAAAATCCAAAAAATCCGAAAAAAAAAACTGCGTTATGCAGAAAAACATACTGAACAACTTTTGCCTCAGGGTCAAATTGAAATACTTTACCAAATTTAACATAAAATTGAAAATTAAACAATAATATATATATTTTTTTAACTTTCAACTTCTTTTCGGCCCGGCCAGACAAGTGAACCCGGGCCACTCTGGTAGCCTATATTTGAACCCCAAAAAGTGTGAATGGGCCAAGTATCACGTGCTATTTATCTAGGCCACATAATATATGCATATGGAGTCCGATAGAAAGACACCAAGATAGCAGCAATCAAAGATCGGCCTGTACCATGCACACTAACTGAACAGCAGTTGTTTTAGGCTTAGCGAATTTCTACCGAAAATTCCTACGGAATTTCATCATGATAGCTACACCACTGTGCAAACTGCTGAGGAAGGAAACAGTTTGGAATTGGGGCAAAGACTGGGCCTCCGCCTTTCAAGAGATTGAAGCAGCCACTAATCGAGTACCCGCTACTACCCGGTCCTCAAGGTGGCAGACCCTTTTACTTTCATGCATTGTCACTCTTACGCAAGCCAATTAGAGATTGGCACTGTAATCCAACAGAACAAGTGAGACGAGTACAGACGAGTACAAACCACAAGTACCTTTGCCGCGTGGGAAAATAGCAGGCCTTGGGTGGGCCTCCGACCTTTTCGGATGGCCGAAACGAAACGACGGCCGCCGATCAGATTTATCAATGGCTGCCGTCTTTGGGCCCGGCCTCCGAATTTTCAGGATTTTGGGAAAACTGCCAGTTTTCCCTAATTTCCCAACACTGGGCGAGGGAAGACTGCCAGTTTTCCCTAATTTCCCAACACTGGGCGAGGTACTAGTTTAAAGGTCACCAACTGAGAAAGTTGCTACGTCGACGTACGAACACAAGCTGTTCGTCTTCAAGGAAGCGCTGAACCTCTGGCGACACCATCTCCTAGGAACACATGTTTAAGCTCGTTTTCACAACGAGACCCTTGTCCCTACACTGGTCAAAAACCCGAAGGCCCAAACGACCCCAAAGTTGACTAGGTCGGCTGGACAAATTGAAACCCGTCAAAGGCAAGTACAATGTAAATGTCGTCACTGATGCATTGAGTAAAGCGCGCGCAGACTTCTTGGACGTCGTCGTGACTTACCTAGATGCAGGCGCCGAGCTACAGCAGCAGATCACCGCTCCGTACATCGATAATCCCGTTCACAGCGAGCTAATTAACAGGGTGCAGACTGCACCACACGAAGTCCCGGACTACATAGTAACCATCAGACCACACGTCGCAAAAACAGTCAGGTTCGACAGACTGCATCCTGAACAACAACACAATCAAAACTCTGATCCTATTGGTGAAGTGCCACGACACACGGTCATTTCGGTTAGACGAAACATATTCTAATCTCCTCCAGTCCAGCACCTGGGTCTGGGTCGCCATGAAGCACGGCCGAATTGCCTATATCCAGGTCTGCCAAGTGTGTCGGCGGAACAAAAATTCAACACAATCCCCACTTGGCCTGTTCAGCCCGCTCCCTGTCCCACACAGTCCCATTCACTCCCTATCTATTGACGTCATGGACACAGGCGAAAAGCAGAATCGGAAAGAGTACAGTGATGGTGGTAGTAGATCGCTTTAGTCCGCTGCCTGCTGAGGCAAAGACAGACTCAGTGACAAGAGAATTCTTTCAATCATTGGGTTACAGCTTACGAACACCCATTAACGATTGTTAGTGACAGAGATAGCAGATTCACAGGCGAGCGCTGGCGACAGTTAATGAAACTGAACAACACATCTTTCTCACTCGTTGGAAAATTTCCGTCCTCATCTTGATTGACGATCGTCGTCATTTCTTGATTGACGATCGTCATCATTTCTTGATTGACGATCGTCTTTGACCGAGTAAATACAAATTTCGAATCTTTTCTTAATTGACGATCGTCATCATCGATTCCAGTGAAACTTTTGAAAATCAATCATCAAACGAATAGACGGTAAAGGCATACCACGCCGGGTTTAGCATGATCGACTCCAAATATTTCGTTTGAAAAAAAAAAAAACACTTCGTAAAAATGGGGCACACGACAGAATTAAAATCTGTTCCTACGGGTTATCAATTCAAGTGCCGCAGCGCGGGAAACTCCTGCCTTCTTCGTTTTTGATATTTACAAAATTTTGTATTTGCGAGTATCCTGCTGAAGGAGAGAGAAAGCTCTCTATGACATTGGTTTTCAGTGCTACGAACCTCCATTGGTGTATTATTGGTGCCATGCTGCTCTCTGGACACAGTGTGACTATCTGGCTCTTAATGTGATGGTTTAATCTGGATTTGTCATCTCGCTGTTGCTTATTTTTCTTGCGTATTTTTTGGTGGGGATTTCACCGGCATTACCTAAAGGCTGTGTAATTAATGCATCCAACCAAGCTATATTTCCAATCCGGTACATCCATAATCAGTGTGCGATGAGTCAGGGGGAAGACGGTACTACATCCAATCGCTCTCTGTCAACATGGCAGAGGCGAGAAAAGGAGGGTTACGTAGCATATGCTCCTCTGTAGTACAATCCTCTTTTGCATTTCGCAAACAGTTCTCAACTCTTCACAATAAGCCCTTCAAAAAAGCCCAAGACGACGAACAGTAGAACTACAGAGTGATCCACATACGCGCGTGCATGCGCTTCTCTACGCAGAGTACTCTTTCCTGCATGTCTCTGTGGGCAGACGCTTTTATATTGTTGCTCTACTGATATCATTACATGTCGGCGGGATCTGCATCTATCTATTCTAATAGTCTTAATCTATTTGGATTCCATTCTATTCACTGTTACTAAAAATATTTCGTAACCAAGTTTCAATGAACAGGAAGCAATTTATCAAGCATCAACTTATTCATCAGAATTATATGTACCAGCACAGATAACTTATACAAAATCAGAAAAAACGAAAAGTGAACTAATACTAATCGGCAACATTCCAATAATGACGGCCAGAGGGAATTTTATTATTAATGGAGCTTGTAGAGTTATAGTTTTTTATTGTATTTTTTATTATATTAATTTATAAATTTGTCAATAAACTTGAACTAGTATGTGAAACATACATGGTATGATCTTTTTTGATCACTATTACAAGATTCTGTTTATTTATCATTGTATTGTATTAGATAATGCTCTATCTCCTTTACTTTCCTCTATTGAATTTATTGTATTGTAATTGCTTGTAATTACTTACAATATTTACATATAATTCATACAATTATTTAGAATATTTGCATATAATATGTATGTATTATTATTTTACTCTTTGATTCTATAGAAGCCACTAGTCTTATGCTATTTAGAAAATCCATTTACAAATCAAACTAAAAAACTAAATACGACCTGTAA